TGCTAGAGCAGTTGGTTGTCAACTTGTAAAGATAACTGCATCTGTCTTCTTTTCTTGCTGTGGCAGAGTGAGGTGTCACTAGTCAGAGCTGCTCCAGCAGGTCATCTGCCTCATCTGAGCAATTTCAGTCAACTGCTGACACAAGTTTTCCTTTACTTTGTGAAATCCACGGGCAGAGGAGCAGGATGATAGAGGAAATTAATCTCTGCCCAAGTTCTGCTTTTACTTACAACTTGGATGGACGGGAGTTCAGCAAGGTTTCTGTTGAAAGCAATCTGAACATGTTTCTGGTTTCCTTTTCAGTTTGGGCCGCACATGCTGAAGTCCACAGGAAAAATGAAGACTTTAATTGAAAAATCCTAGTGAATTCAGATCACTACACGAAAGACTGTTGAGCTCCTTTCTCCGAAATATTTTATGTTGCAAATAGCACTAGTACTGAGTGGTCTCTTTCTTACAGCACAGGAAGACTCAATGTGAAGTAGAAGTGAGGCACTAAACGTGGTTGTATGAGATTTGTCAAGGGGAATAAATTGGACCATTATACTCAGGTATTAATTTTGCAGTCAAGCCTGGCTTTCCACTCAGACTTACATGGTGGATTTAGTTTATTAACACTAAGTTATATATACAGCATTCTTTATGCATAACTGACCATCTTAAAAATCTGTGTACATGTTAATGATGATGGTGATACACCCTTAAGTTAATATCAGTTATTTGAGCTCTACCTGTAACTTGCACTACAATGTGTAATTTGATATTGAAATTTTCATGTTGAAGTCTTTCTTTTAAATTTAACTTAAGCAAAATTTTAGCCCAAAGAAAACCTGGAGGCATTTTGCTTCTTAGTGAAACAAAGGAAAAACTTGAATCTGCTGCAGAGTTCAGATAAATTTTAAGTAGTAGCACATTTTTGTGCAGGGCTGTTTGTTTCAAATGAGCTTGCAAGGCTAAGAGAGTAAAACCTGCTTACATTGTCCTGTGGCCATTATAAAGAGTGCAGGACAAGGGAGTAAATCGTGCTGTGGGAGCCTCTGTGAACAGGTAGTCCAGTGAATTTGAAATAGCCAGTAGAGAGCAGCAGAGTTAAATAGTAAGAGAATATGTGTTAATTAGAGTAGAAACAGTGTAGGTGAGAAAATAAAGGTACAAAGTACTGTGGGGTGCAAGTACATTGTTCACCTCTGCTGCTCTAAGGGATGTTTGTGGACACCTTTCTCCCCAGCTGCCAGAAATTTATCCAGGGACCCAAAACAGCTGGGGAGAAAGGTGTCCACAAACATCCCTTAGAGCAGCAGAGGTGAACAATGTACTTGCACCCCACAGTACTTTGTACCTTTATTTTCTCACCTACACTGTTTCTACTCTAATTAACACATATTCTCTTACTATTTAACTCTGCTGCTCTAAGGGATGTTTGTGGACACCTTTCTCCCCAGCTGTTTTGGGTCCCTGGATAAATTTCTGGCAGCTGGGACCTGCACACCCTCATGGTCCTGTGTTTGCTGGGAAGACATGGGATAAGCCATTGCACATAACCTGCTTTCCAAGGAAAGCCCTTCTGAGGCTTCCCCACAGCAATTATTTGCTGCCAGACCTGCACCAACCACCTCAGCTCATGGCTCCAGCCACAGATGTAGAAAAGGCTCAAGCTAAACATACAAAAAGGCTGTTCAGGAGCTCAGAGCTACAGCTTAGCTACGCTGTGAAATGAAGCCAAGCTTTGCTCTGACCACAGATGGGAGTAGAAAAGGCTGAGCCTGCTCTAAATTGATCCTGGCTCCTGGGACAAGTACAACTGTCTCTAGAAGCTTCTGTTTTCTAGGAAAAGACAAAAGCAGCACTACTTAATAAAGAGAACTGAATGACAAGGTTACTGGAGATGAAGCTTTGCTGCTTATAATTGGAATGTAGGCTGTACAATGGAGGAGTGGGTTTTCTGGGGTGGAACTTGAAATGGTGTTAATATGTACACAACGTAACTTCCTTCCAAAATGCTCTGCCATCAGTCTTACTGACAGGCCATTCAATCCTTGAGTTCTTTTAAATGACTTAAAACCAAAATTAACTTTCAAAAAGGTGTTTTAAACTTTTGTATTTTATGCTCTTATTGCCACTATATAAAATTAAAAGCAGTTAAAATAAACATGGCATATTTGATTTGTGGTACTCTACAAATGATAGCAGCCACAGTAAAGTATAGTTTACATTCTGTTACAGTGACTGTAAATCAATGTAGTGACAACCTACTTCCATCTCCTCCAGGACTGGTCTGCTTACCTTGCTGTGCACCAGGAGTGACAGAGTTAGTCTAGAAAAGCCCCACACTTAACTTAGTTACATTCAGATTAAATGACAAAAAAAAAAAAGGGTATGAGGAACCAGTGAGAAGTTTATGCCTCACCACAAACATAGCAGGAAGGTACTTGTGTACCATCCCCTGGTACACTGGGTTCCCCTGGCAGTCCAATTAACATGCAAAATTCAGGATATCACGTGACCTATTAAACTAGGCTAGAACATGAGAAAAGCCCATACCAGGCATTGCCTGTTTGAACTGAGGTATCCAGTGCCCAGAAATGGGGTGAGCCTTATCACTGATGTAAAATTACTGTAAAAGAAATGCCACCTGCACAAGAAAATAAAATCACAAAGCCGACATCAAATAACTTACTTTATACTGTACCCTCATTTGTATCTTTCTACTTGAAATCTTCTACATGCACAATGCCACTGCCCACAGTAAAAGTGCTCAAACTAAGGCCATCCACTCATGTTGGGCAGAGGCCGCAGACATAATCTGAAAGCTCTTTTTATCTGTCTGTGAACAGTGCTGGGAGTAGATCTGTGAATTAAGACAGTCTGTGGTGGGGACCTGGCCCACATCCCCTCGCACCTTTCTGGGCTTCGGTGGGCTGTGAGTGGCCATGGTGCCTTAGGGACCCTGCTCCTGACACACTCAGCTCTCACATGAAATGTTCAAGCTGCAGGAATGTTGAAGTTCAATACAGATTTGTAGAAAGCATTTCTAGACAAGTCAAAAAAAAAGGCTATTTTTTTTTTTTTTGCTTTTTTAATTCAATCTTATGTCAGAACCTTCCATGTACACTAAGAGGTGGGATTAGAACCAGTCTTTTTAAATCCAGTCTGGTAGGAAAAGACAGAGACCCCTTTCCAGGAAAGGTGGCTTAGAACAAAACTACTCATGTTTCACTCTAAGCACCTTGACAAACTGTACTGGTTCCTGTCACAGCAGAGGACAGCAAGATGGCACAATGTGAAAGAATCACAGGCTCTTTATAAACACTGTATGATAAATACTGTATGTTGAAATACTGCTATATACCTATTCGTAAATCCATTAAGCTTAATTTGCATTAGATATTAAAATGTGCTTATAAACAGCCTGCAGTGAGTACTAAAAATTAATGTGTACTAAAATTTAAAATGCAGTTGAGACTCTTTAAACCAAGTCACATGCATCACAGAAGACAACATCAGGTAATGATTTCAGTGGTCATTTTGAAAATAGCTGCAGTCTTGGCACATGTTTTTATTCAAAACAGTGCAAGAGGAATCAGTACTTTCCCACATTTAACCCTACAAACCTGCCCAGGCTGTAGGGAAGCTTAGCTGCAGCTTCTCTGTAGTAAGTTACTCACACGCAGTCGTTACCTCTGTGTTCTCACAGCTTCAAACACCACTGGAAAGTGTTGCCCTTTCAAAGACTATCTGTTAAAAAGTGCTTTCTGTTCCCTCAAGTTACAACCAAAGCTCATTGTCCCATCTGATCCTTCTCTGCTGGAGTCAGACAACAGCAAGAACTTGCACTGACAGCGAAGGAAGGAAGTTCACGCAGGTTCAACAGAATGGTTTCACTAGAAATTTATTTCTTTAAACATGGCCACTTTGAGATTAATGATACTACTTCAGGGAACATGAAAGAATAAACAATTTTAGAAGGGAAACAATCAGGTAAGTCAGGATTTGCTTTTCAAACAGTAAAAGGCCAAGCTTCAAGAGGCAATAAATTTTGGCATATGAGGACTAGTAATTTCAAATCCAAAAGTTGGCTTAGTTTTACAGTGGAAGCTGACTGCAACCTTAGGTACCTTTCCACAACGCTGGACTCAGTCGTAACTTAAATGTACAGGAGCATAATGTGAAAAGATTTTGTTTTATTAATTAAAAGTTAACAGCAACAGGCACGTATTAAAATGAATATGGCAAAGCCTTTACAAATGGCTTTACGCTGAAGCTCTCTCCCAAAAATGGCTGTTGCAACAAACTGTAAACAGAATTAATAAACAGTCTTTTACAATAATAACAGGGAAATACAAATGAACTAAAAGAAAGCACCAGTTTCTCAAACTAGATTACAGTTGTGCTTACTGTACTTAAAACAATGTAAAACAAATTACAAAAATGGAATGTTTTAAGTTTAAAATTAGTCCTTTAATTTTGTCCTAAAAAACATTTTCTCCTTTTCCCATCAAAAACCCATCAGTGGGTAATGTTTCAGTAGAGGGAGGAATACGTAAACAATGCACTTTTTTTATTATTTTTTTTTCAAATCAAAAACAAATTTGGTCACTTAGCTTTGTGCATAGTTTAAGGCATCTGTAGCAATTTGTTACAGTTTCCTCCCCAGTGTGGCTGTTCATGAAATTGTCACATTCTAAAAGAATAAATTAAAACAAAATAAAAGAAAACAATGTTGCCGTTCAAACCCTTCCCCGAGCCCTCCCGCCCTCCCCGCCCCAAACGTACTCACACACCCACACATACACACACGCTGCAGCGAAAGGGGCATTTGTACCCTTGTTCTGAAGGACACGCTTCCCATCCCACTTTATTTCAGATTGGCAAATACCCTGAGCTGATTATGGTGTTTAGACATTCCACCTTTTTCTTGCATGTGCAGTTCAAGTGTACAATAGTGAGAACAACATGCGATGTTCCCACTGCAGAATCGCAATGCAGTTCAGACGCTTCCCCCCACCCCCACCCCGCCCTTCCCAGATTCAGAAGTGTTTTGTTGCTGTTAAAAAATTGCATTCCCATATAGCACTGGAGTAAAGCTTGGCTGTGCTCTATGATGAATGCTCAGCTCCCAGTGCACAAACAAAATTATGGCAAATGGGAGGCTTTTCTGGCATCCAAAGAAAAGAGAGCTGCAGTCTCAGATTTGATCTTTTTCTTTTAAAAAAGCAAAAAACTGAAGTTAGTGGTTCCTTCACAGCCATGCGCAAAGGTTAAGTCTAGAACCGACAGTTTCAGAGTACATTTGTAAACATCAAGTCTTGCCAGAGGCAGCAGAGGATGGGCACTTCACATTTCCGTATTAAAACAGGGACTGAGTGGAAGGTATGCTTTGAACACATTTATGCAAGTCTTGCTAAATTCCAAGGGAGTGGAACAATCCATCTCAAGTTTTAGATTTGAAGACCGTATTCCAAATTTCACCAAAAAACCCAAGCCACGTGTGGCACAATGAAGCTTTCGTCCTGTTGCTCCAAGGCTCAGTCACTGCTGTGCTTTGCATATTCAAGGTTCCGAACGAAAACCAGCTGAGGTGGGTGCATATTGCTCTATGTTCAAATCTTGCGGCTTAAAAAAATTCTGGTTCAAATGGTCTGTGTCAAAGGAAAACTTGGAAATAAATAATGCTGGCATCATTTTACCCTTTTACCAAAACCTTGGGCTGGCACGTATCTCCTTTAATCCAACCGTGCAGATACCAATAGAAGAGGCAGTTTTGTCAGGAGGACTGAGGTCAGGACAATCGAGGTTCCTGAGGTAATATGTCTGAGTCCATTTCCTCAAAAGTAGGGTCAACATCGTCACCACTGCCAGACTGTTCCCTCTGCACTCCCTTCCAGCTTGCCTTGTTCAGTCCCAGGTGGCCAAGCATTGTCTGTGACAGCCTGGTGTTGGAAAACCGGGCCCATTCCCCAAACAGAGGTTCCACTAAGTAGGTCATAAAACCTTCAAAAACAAGCAAACAGAGACAAATGAAAACCAGAAAACGAACCCAGAGAAAAATTAAAATCCTCAACCTAAATATTTTAAATAGAATTTAATAGCAAAATGTAAATCTGTCAAACTACTGTTCTCCAATGTGCATTTAAAAATTCATGTCAATATTTAGGGCATCTTTACAAAATAATCTCTCAAAATATAAAAGATCTTATTAATCAGTCAGAATAGCAGCAATACACTGGGTTACAAATTAACCCTCTTTCTTTCACAGCAATGACCAAATAAAGGAAAATATTGAGGAACATGGGGGAATTTTATAATGAATTACCTCACAGACAGTCTGAACTATACTACACAGGGGGAAAAAAAGAATACATTACTTTCACAATATTAAGCCAGCTAAAAGTATTTTAAAATATAAATTCTAGAAATTTTTTAAACAAGGCCACAAAACATTAACACACATTTATATACTTGTTTGTGTGTTTATATACAACTTTGTGCATATGCACATGTTCTCTTATGTGCACTGTCTACTTCCATGAACCAAAAACTCAAGGGTAAGATGACCAAAATTGAATCTGTCAATTATGGAAATGTATGTTTTCCTAACATTCTAAATTAAACCAGTGCATCTTATTGAACACATCAGCTTTTGTGTCAATTTAAAGCATAATTAATACTGTGTTTGTGGTCAAATTTATTCTTTTCTTTACTGTGCTTTTAACTGAGTCCCTTTCAACCTACATAAGCAACTTTTATTAAAATAAGAGGACATTTTGCTATTTTAAATCCAATTGAATTTAGCAAAAACTATTAATATAATGGCTATTCACCATTCTCCATCAAATCTCTGTCCACCACCCTCCTTTTAAAGGCTGCATTTAAAGGAAATGCTGACATTCCAGAAAGCTAAACCCAGCGAGCTAGAGCCCTGTTGTGGCAATCTCGCTGCAAAAGGCACCCGAGACCACATGGCAAGGGGAAGGAACCCTCCTCTTCCCAAAATAGCCACTTCAGACCAGGAAAGTTCCGGGCAGCAGCAGTTCAGGGAGAAGTCAGACAGCTGCCTCCCATGCTGTACCTGTTCTGTAAGGAAACAGAGGGGCTCAGGTCTCCAGGACTGTCAGTGCAGTACCTCTTGTAAACAGTTCAAGCCAGAAGTGTTATACAGCAAATTGAAATAAAAAGTGCTCTTCGTTATGAAGTGCTGCCACACACACACAGAGCAGGTACAGCCTCTAGCAAATGTACCCAAAAGGTCCTTCTTTCAAATTACATCCTAAAGAAATCTACTGAAATAAACTGAGTTATAGTTACCAATCTGGATGTTGGCAATAGTTTCTGTCTGTCGGTCACAAAGTGGACTCACACCCAAGTGATATTTTTTTTCAATATCACCTAAAGAAAAAAAAGTACAATACAACTGTTAAGTCATAAGGTCCAGACTCAAATCAAACACCAAAAGAGGTGAGCTGTGCCAGGATGGTGTCTTGCAGATGGTAGAATGCATTTACTTCTCTCCCCATCTCCAGAAAAATCCAAGTAGATCTGTCAGTGAGACTAACAGTATTTATAAATACTGTATTTAAATACTATTATTCATCAAACACTAATTAAACAAAAAACATAGAACCACTAGTTTACTGAAGGATTAACATCCTCTTCCTCACAAAGCTTCCTAGACTGTCATAGAAATGACAAATTAAAATCCCCCCTTAGTAATATAGAAGAGAATAGCTCAGCGTTCAGAAATTTCTGGCTAAAGACAATCTGTGGTTCTGCCTCCCCATCACCTTTACCAAAGATTAAGCCTCATGTGGATAACAGCAAATAAAGCAGTCTGTTCCCCATTTATCATATCCATGTGCACATTAGCAGGTCTCAAGTCAGCTAAACTAGCCTTAGTTTTATTATTAAAATTTAATAATAATGGAGGAAATTCACTCCATTACATTAAGTTAATTACAAGCTTTATTAACTGCTTATATAAGTAGTCACAACTGCACGGTAACTAAAAATCTCCCTGGCTCTCACCTGCTTACCAACAGGCCTCACAGCTCAAGTTTAAATACTGAAGACACATGATGAACATATTTCATAATTTACTGAAGCCACTAGGTAAATTTAAAGCAGTCATAATTGCTCATCTGAAGCACCTTTCAGGTTGCACCAGCCATTCTAGGTTCAGATTCTAAGCAGATTCTTCAATGAGTTTTAGTAATTCCGACCTTTTGCAAGAAGCACAACCCATGAAAGGAAAAAAATCCCATACTGCACTGTACATCTCTGTTAGTCCTAAATATAAATGGACTAGGACTCATGATGCTCTTTCCATGCTATATATATATATGGTATACTAACAGATAATTCTACTCTTACCTTGATGGAAGAACTCCTCTGTTACTTTTTCACTCCACTGCTTGCTCAGCTCCCACGTCCGACAGGGGTTACAAATATCTGCACACTTCAAAGCCATCTAACAAGTTAACACACAGTGTTAGACCATCTTTCCCTTCAACAGAAGCACCTGCAATTATTTATTTCCTTACAGCAGATTATTTTAACTTTTCTGAATAACAAACCTACCTAACATCTGCGCTCCAAACTTATCTTCTGCAATATTTAAAAAACATTCAGGGAACTATCAGATCTCATGATCATCCCTGAGTAATATGGAAATTCAGGCAAGTCAAAGTATTTCAGGGGCACTATATTTAGTATATTCACTGGTACAGGAGCCAAAAAAAAAATCAGAAAAAAGAAACATCAAAGTAAGCAAACAGTATTTTCCATTTCTGGCTCTGAAGCTCATATTTTTAGCAATGGTTTGCACAAGACAGAACTTCTCATTTGTTTGTTTAAGTTTTTTTATAATTCACAATATGAACCTAATAAGAAAATGTCTACAAATCTAAAAATAATTTCAAGGTTTTTGGTTTTAAAGTTTTTTAAAGCTCACTAGCACAGCTGCAAACTGATTCACAACAGTAGTGCTTTCCTTTCCCAAAAAATGTTCTGACAAAGCATTTCACAATTCTGAGGCTGCAATGGAGTTGTTAGAAAAGCTCAAACCTCTCTTGGAAAAACACCTCTCCTTGCTTTAGTAGCTTTAAGTTATGAGACTTAGCAACACTCACCATCACTCGGGAGAAGTGCTGGGGAAGGGAACTGAATGACTAGAAGATAGTTCTGCTTTTGAAAGGAGGAGAAAGCCTGGCAGAAGTAGTATTTAGCATTTTTAAGTAAATTATTTTTACGCTAAAATGATGTTTTCAAAAATATTCCCAAGAAGATCACCTGTAAAATGAAGTGCCGATGGTTTGCATTCTCTAAACATAGGTCTCCTCTATCCAAATGGGATCGAAACATGGACAGATACTCGTTTTGCTGACTGATGTCTGTGGCAAGAATGAGATCGCCTATCTGGCTTTCCATCAGCTGCCTGAAATTAGTGACACCAAACATTCACAGCATAACAATTAAGAACAACAGTCATCACAAGACTGAGATGTCTTTTTATCATATTTATTATTATACAAATACAAGCTTTATAATCAGCATTTTCACTGAACTATTTTGTTTGTTTGTTTGTTTTCTTTTGCTGAAAAAGTCTTACAACATCCACAGAAACACCAGGACATTTCACTGGAGGCTTTCAAGAAGATTTCAAAACAGCTTTTACCTTCTTTTCTCCCCACCCCTCCCATTTTTTTGTTCTTAAAAATGCACAAACTAATTGTCTCAGGATTATTTCTTGTTGGAGTAGGTGAAGAGGGTCTATTTTAAACTACAGTTGTGGTGGCAGAACAAGAAAAGGCTGCCAAGTTTAATCTGAACAGGTGCTTGTCTACATGAATACACTTCTTCAATGTGCTCACAGTAAATGTTATTTTCCGGATATCACGTTGCACCACGAACTGCTCTACTCCACCAGCACAGTATCCAGGAATTCTTAAAATAGATCATCATCTACATTTTGTATTCAAAACTGCCATGCAATAATTCATCTTGTTTTGCAAGGCTGTCTTACTTAAGTGACAGCTTGCTTGCATCTTAAACTAATCTATACTCTTCGGTATAAACATACCTGTTTTCTAATGACATATGTGCAAATAAACCAGACTCTCTCAGCAACCCCACTGCCGACCTCCAGTGATGGTTCTCTAATACTGAGGTATTCTGCGAATGAAAAGGGAATAACACCTATCAGTCAATGCCTTTTTCTTAAACTGCAGAGCTGTATACCAAGAGCAGACCAGAAAGTTTTGCTGTGTTTTGGAGTCGGTGTTTTTATTTCTTCCTTCTTTTTTTTTTTTTTCCCAAAGAGGTTAAAACTCACAAACCCCAAATATGCTGTTAATTTGCACATTTTTTTATCACAGTGGCATGGAAACAATGTCTGGATTCAAACCCACCACTAGCTAAACACATCACAATTTATACTCTTTTTCTGTACTACTCAAGCATTCTCCAAACCAGGCTTTAACAAAACAACTGATTCTGTTCTTACCTTATATAAAGTCGCTAAATAATGGTTTGTTTTAATTAGGAAAGGTTGGTTAACGCCTGGGTGATCCAAGTCATGTGTGGCAGCTGCTATTAAACTGAGCAGAACATCCCACGGAGTTAAAGATTTGGAAAGCTGCAAGGCAAAACCAATAAATGTTAGTAATGCAAGTATGCCCTTAGAGAAAGTGCATGAGTGTAGCATTTTTGGTTTTTAGTAGTTAACAGCTAACAGAAATTTAGAGAAAATTTTGAAGATGTACAACTAATATTCCACTGACTTTGCACAGTATTGCCCCACTCAAAGCTACAAAATTTCAACAATGGTTTAAGCATTATTCTCTCTGAATAAGAAGGTTCAGTCTTGAAATCAACACCGTAACACAAAATCCTACTTTCTGTCTGGTAATGAAGTACTATTCCTAAGCAGATCCCATAAAAGCAGCAAATTCTTAAAATTAGCTCTCCTTGTCATTTACCGAGTCCATCTGTATGTGTCAATTCTGCTTTAAATATATACTATATTTTAGAAAGCATAAAAACCCCTTCCTCTTAAAGGGAAGAAATTAATACTCTGGAAGACTTTAGAACTGTTCAGAATGGATTTCTACTCTTATGTGAAATTACACTTAAAAGTCTAGCAGGGCCAGAAACAAAGGAGGAAACTGTGTCACAAATAAATACTTTCAAGTATGTGTATGTCAATGAACTCAGCATTCACCTGCACAGGCTTACTTTCACTGCTCACAGCTGTTACTACTTACGATTGGGAGGTTTGTGAGTTAGACTTAGTCAGAAAGTCTAGCTTGCACTAAAACAGAGAGGATAATTCTGCCCATACAAAGGTGAAATGCAGTAAACACCCCGCGTGGACAGAAGTTTATACTCCCTGTTGCATTTGCCATCCATCATGCCTCACATGTTTATAAAGCACTCTGGTGCAACAGAATCTGTAGCTGTATATGTTACTAAAAATACTAAGTCTATACTTGTATCTAAAGCATCACAAAACTTCCATCATGAGTATTAAATAAAAAATGCTCAGAGCTTCCAAACTGCATGCCATAAAAAAGCTCATCATGTATCAGCTCTGATTTGGCTCACTGCACCAAACTGATCTGAGAGCAGCACTGAGAAACTGAGTGGGAGGAGTGGGCAAAGAGCCTCTGAAAAACATCGAGGGAGCCAGAACTTACTTGGTTTTACTTCAGAAGCAGAATAAGGAGCTATACTATTCAAGGGATTACCAGACTGGTGATAATCTGCATCGAGGTAGATAATGTGTCTCACCTGGCTATAAAGCACTGCAGTTTTCAATTTAATACAGAAGAATAGGATTTAGTCCTAAAATTGTCCAATCACTCAGAGCAGCCTGACAGCAGTCCAAGTAGGGAGGAACAAACACTCAACCAGCTCAGTTCCTTAATGTCTGTAACTCTGCCGTTTCTTAAAAAGAAGTCCAAATGTAATGCCAAAGAGAAGTCCTAATGTAATGCTACCAACTGCCTCTAGCAGAGGCATCCTATTCAGTGACATCAAAGATGAGCAAAGCAAGGGCAACAGTAGTTTCTGGGGGAAAAAATCCCACCCCAAATGATAAATACACAAGTTTATTATTGCCAGCTCTGACTCAGGCTACAATTCTATGCAAATGTCTTGGGGCACAGCACTATGTTCAACAGCTGCAACCTTAATTCCCTACTCTGGTCCAATGTGAAATCACACAAAAAACAGTGTCAGCTCAGAAGAGGGGAAAAAAGAAAAGCACATTGCTAAGTGTGAACCCACAACCTCAGCAACAGAGAGAGTAATAGAGAGTTGAAAACTGTGTCTTGTTGGGTTCTTAGGTTTCTTTACTTTTAACAGAAAGTATATATACATATACATATACGTATGCATGTATGTATTCGTATATATAGATACATGAGTTTATCACTCTCTACAGCTACCTGTAAGGATGTTGTAGCCAAGTGAGGGTCAGCCTCTTCTGCCAGGCAACTAGTGATAGGATGAGAGGACACAGCTTCAAGCTGCATCAGAGGAGGTTCAGGTTGGACGTTAGGACACTGGACAATTTCATCACAGAAAGGGTTGTTAAGTATTGGAATGGGCTGCCCAGGGAGGTGGTGGAGAAGACTGGATGTGGCACTTTGTGCCATGGCCTAGTTGACATGGTGCTGTTGGGTCATAGGTTGGACTCAATCTCAGAGGCCTTTTCTGTGATATGCACACACAATACATTCATATGCACACACACAAATGCACATATTTCTGTACATACACATGATATGAAAGTGAGAACACTCCCTTACCTTGGGCTCTTTTAAGTAACAGTGCATGGCCTGAGTCACATCAGCAGCATGAACTGCATTATGATAAGGGTTTTGACTGTGATAATCTTCTTGAACCATAACTGCAGGAAAATAACATATATCCAAATTTAAATAAAATAACAGGTTTTTTAAGCAATATTTTATATTCCGTTACTTGGCACAGAAATAAGCAATATCCCAAATCACATACACATGAAAACATCACAGTCAGTAAATCATCAGCTGAACCCAAACACAGGTATACCATTTCTATGTTAAGAAATAGTATTTTCTAAAGGAAATCAACCACATGTGAAAGTCATCTCAGAGCAAAATTAAACAACTTTAAATCAGTATATAATCTGAGAGACTCTGAGACCTTCCCAGAGAAGACTCCCTTTGATAATCTAGACTGTCCAAACCATGAGGCAATCCTGAATACAAAATGATGATGCTGTTTACCGAAGCATCAGGAGGATCCCATATCAGGCTTTGAAAACAGACAGAATCAGAGGAATTAGGCACTGCATTTCTGTCATATGAAGTGCTTTTCTTTCCCATTCAGGAAAGTGGTCATGGAAAGCCACCTCTATGCTTTTTTAGGCATCTTATACCTCACTCAGGACAATTTAAGCCTACATGCAATTTAGAAAAGAATCTTGTTTAGATGATGGTCTGACTAACTACTCCTAGATTCAATATTCCCTATTTAACTTCTTCCTTGGTTTCTCCTCTTTCATTCATCTTCCTGGATGTCTTTGAACAGTATAGGTAGAATTCTTTAAAGGGCATCAACATTAGGTCAAGTACATGGAATGAAAGAACTATAATGTTAAAAAGGATGGAGGAGAAAAAGACCTGAATACAACAATCAAACTGCATTCTAAGGTTTGGCCTGATACAACACATTAGTTCTTTCAAGCAAACCTAAAAGAATATTTTCCTGGCTGACTACAATCAGTCAGTCCCATCAAACAAACATGCCTACAACCTCTTTTTCTACTCAGCTGACAAGGCAAAATGGTCCATGTAATTGCGATTGCAATGTTACAGCGTTATTGACGTGGTATTTGTGAAGAGCTGTGGTTCATGAAAAGTCAAAATACTGTAACCATCACATAACCTCTAAACTACTCAATGCATAGATGACAGCTCATACAAAAAATGATGAAAATAAATGTCTTTGAGCTCTATCAACCTGCAGTAGAACTCTCTCCTGCCTGTTCCTCACATCAAGTGCACGAATGCAGATGTCCTTCATTTTTTTGTGGCTTCACAGGCTGGTCAAGCTACCTGAAGTTTACAATTTTTCTAACTTATTTAATAAAGCTGACCTAGGTCAAAATTTTGATCATGGTTTGTCTGAACTAGAATACCACAATCACCCTATGTTTTCAGGAATAGAGTACGTTGTATTTTCTCTCCCCCTGTTCAGGTTTGGAATAAGAACTTGAAAACACACAGTAGGAGGATGCAGATCTCCAAGTAACCTTTGGTAATCACTGAAAGACTATGTATGTGTATAAACATATATATATATGTATTTATATACAAAAATAAAATGTTGAGATCTTACTGAGAACTAAAACCAGATTTTTCTACTTAAAAAGATTCCAGTAAATTCCCAAATAAAATGAATTTTACATGGTACTATGGACCACTTGTTCTGTCCTAGTCTTCCAGAATCTGATCTTCAGATTATTGTGGACTGGAGTACAAGAGGTAGCAAAAGAAAAGAATGAACTGCATTCATGATGAAAGGTTCCCTGATTTGACAGATGTACTAGGACAGACATAAGAAATGTTCTTCTCAGTGACATTAAGTAGAAGTCATTAACAAAAGGGAAAGGTGGTGACTTTCAAAATTAGAATAAAATTTTGCCTTCTTCCAAGTCTAATCTCATTTTAGTGACTTATGACTTTGAGTAATCATATGTAGTTAAAACTATTAGTTATCTTTTGATAACCAGCTAACTAATTCCTAACTAGTCTTTCATTTCAAGTATTACGGTTTGCTAAATCTCAACTAACCGGAAGATAAGCAAGATGAGAAAGACAAACCACACTCAGTTACAACTCAAGCAGTCTAAGACTGGATTTCTATAATAATTTTCTTCCTATTTCAATATATCAGTCATTAAGGTTAGCCAATTTACACTTCTGAAACTGGAAGGAATTGAGTCCACTTTGAAGCAACGTGAAATGCAAGACAGAACTAATCTTTTTTTTTTTAAGCTGAAAGAGAACAAAAACATCCCCTTATTTGAAAGGGGAGAAAAACCTTCCAAATGAGAGTTCTCCTCTGTTAAATGACAAACTTTGTAACCACAGAATTGTTTTCTCTGGAACTGTGAAAGCCTGCTAAAACAGACCAGAAACTTGTTTCTCCTGCTCAGTTAAAAAAATCATTCCCACTTCACAAAATTAAAGGTACTATCACAGAAAAAACAACGGAAAGACGCTGCACACCAGTGCCTGTCTATGGCATTGGGATGCAGAAAGACAGCCCATTCAGCTGTTGAGTGAAGGTACTTCTTGGTTTGAATATTCCACGTTGTATTTACAGTTCTTTCCATCAAAGTATTTCAGTGCTGCAGGCCCAAATGTTCAAGTAAAATTGTCCTGCACTCTGCTTAGGGAGAAACTATGCCCACAGTACAGTGCTTACTTGTATAAGAGTTTGAGCAAGCCAGAGACAGCATCAAACTGGCACCAGTAAATCCAGCCAAGCTTACATATTCCATACAGTTAGGAAACTATATCACTGGGAAGCAAAGATCAATGCAGAACTGATTATAAAGGAGCTGTCCAGCCTTTCTCAATACAAATGTCACACAATGTCACATATATTTCTGATTATTTAGATTTAATAAATGGAATACAACATCAGCTATGGAACTACTACACTTGTTAATACTTGTTTGGATTTAACACAGGAAGTTCTGTACTCATATAAACTTTGAGAGATTGTCTCAGTCAATATAATTTAAATCACTGCACGATCTGGACTGCATTAATACCCTTCAAACCTTACTGCTAAACTACAACCAGCACTTCAGTTAAGGTATAAAAAAGCAGCAATATTCATCATAATAAAAAGCTGTATTTACCCAAAAATCTACGAAGTTTCATCGTATCTAATTGGAAGTGTTCAATTAGTCCATGAAGATTAAACAGATGAAAGGTTAAGCTGACTAGACTGTTTCCTAAAAATAAGATGAAAATACTAATTCATTGGAAGCCATGAAATCAGTGACTCTTTCATAAGAAATGTATTATTTCAAACAAATTGGTCACAAAAATTATACAAGCAAATTTTTCTACACCAATTTATGATAAATCTTACTGCATGACAAGATTCCATTAGCTGTTTCTAGTAATAACCACGGGTTTTGATTAATGATAATAAATTCACCAACTCTCCACTGTCAACTGATAGGAGGAAAATGTTACTGAACACTAAGAAAATCAACAGGTTTCAACATGCAAACCCATTACAATGACATTCAACTTTGTAAGTAACTTTATGCAACATATCACAGACAGCTGAAAGCCAAAGACAAAAATGATCAGGCAAAGAGAAAAGTCAACACTGTTGATTAGCTCACATTGTAAATATGCTCTCATTTTTGTCATGTATTTTGCTGAACTTCTCCTTATTTTACCCACAACTCTACGAAAAAGTTTCTGCAGGAAACACATACTATTACACACTTACAATATCCTTCACCTACTCATAGCTATATTACAATCGTTTGCAATGGTAAAATAGGTAAAACTGCAAGAGACAGAGAATAGCCCAAAATGTTTATTTGAAATAGCTTGCCCATTATTTGCTCTGCAAACAATGTCATGGCTGACAATCTTCATTTAGCATTAAAGAACCTAGTATAGACAGAAATTGAGGTACAAAAGGACAAAACTTTCTGCTAAACCTTGCTTATTACTGGGCTTAATGTATTCTCATGTGCATGCCATTTCCTCACAATGAATTATGCAATTCTTGGAACATCTACAGGGTAATTTGTTTCTTAGAGGTTCACCCAGGGCAGCTCATCCAGTAGAGTTTTATAGACAGCATTCTGCCCTTAAAAACTTTCAAGAACAAGGCTGCCTGATCAAAATGTCCTCCTATAAATACTTAATTAGGATGCAAAACTTTAAACACTCTAATTGCAATTCTGCTACCTACTCCATATGATGTAAGACCTGCAAGAGCTGCCCTTCATTCTCTTCCCACACTGTCACAAATGTCGCTGTGACGCTGGACTTGCTTATCTCCTCCTTCCATTTTATTCAAAATCCAGCTTCCATCACTGTGATTATGATATAAATATTCACCCTACCCACTGCAGCAGCCCTCCCTCCTCCTTTTCAGCACTTTTACACATCTCTTTTCTGTGTGTCCATAAATTAAACAATACTTTGGTGTTTTTTTAACCAAATACTTCTGTAGCTCCTACTGCTACTTGTAATGGGCCGCACAAAACTAACCACGATGTTCTCTTCCTTTTTCTATTTTGTGCAAGCTGTGCATACAGCAGCTTCTCTCTCAACTCCTAATTCTCCAGGTATTCTATTACATTTCCTAATTATAATGCATTCACACCAACGTGCCTTCTTATTGCACTATAAAGCAATAGAACTATCAAACTTTAAATTTATCAGAAAAATACTTGTTCAATATAAATGACCTTTTGGACACGAGCATATAAATTACCAGCAAACCTATAATTGAAAAAAAAAGTCTAAGACAGTAAAATGATTTGTTAATTTATATCAAATTACTACTACAAATTACTGAAAGAGAACAGAAAGTACAAAGTACATGAAGGGGCTCTTCTACAAATCAGTGATTATTATCAGCACTGACAGCATCATTATTTTAATGGAGTGACCAGGCAAACTAGGACTTAGATTAAACACTATTAAACCAAAAAGTACTACCTGATGAAATTTGTGCTTTTTAGTGAATCATATACTGCAATACAAGTGCCACAGTTAAGTTATGCTAGGAGATAAAACACAAATGAAATAGCCAAAGTAAACTCACCATTTGTCAGTCTATCAAACAGAAAAATATCAAAATTCCAATTTCCAACCTTCTCCAGCATACACTGAAAAAAAACACAAAAGCTGTCATCTTTTAATCAGCGTATGTCTATCTTCCTGTAACCTGGAAGAGTATTTAAGATTTAAGAGACAGATCAAGTCTTAGGATTTCTACATACAAAAAAAAAATTGTAGTAAAAGAATAATTAAATTTGCCTGATAACTGAAAAACTTTAAAATACATCTTACAAATTAAAAAACTGAAAAAACCCGAGAAGTGCCTTGACAGAACTGGTTGGAGATTTTCCTTTCATCCTTTATTCAATTTCTCAAAAGAAGTAAGACACAATTTAAAAGAATTAGGTTAAAACCAGAAATAATATGACAGAAAGACACTGTATTCAGACTTCAGTTTTTCAATGAACTAGAAAATAAATCTGTGGTCTTTGACCTCATTTTCTGTCTTTCCCCTGCTTATAGAAGAGAAATAGTATCTAGATGATTTACTAGATATATGAGCCATTTGCATTTGACCCATTATATGAGCCATAATGCATTTTAAACTCTTTACAGACCTAGCTTTTGACTTTCCACCTCACTGAACTAGCATGTCTTCTCAGCAGCTTCACATGAACTGTCCTTCCAGCAAAAGGGATCAGCAAGAACACCAAACATCACACGAGGCCTCACCAGAGTTCAGTAATCCCGATCTCTGCCTCCCCTACCTGTATGAGAAATGCCTGTCCAGCATATTTTACAACAGACTCCTGCCTTCTCCTATTCTCATTAGATTGGTAGAGCTGTTTTATAATCCAATTATGCAAAAAGCATTTTAGCTTTTCTCTATCAGCCATTAAAACCCTGCTACCTGAGAAAACAAGAGCATTAACAAGTTCTCTTTACTATTAAATTACATGCACATTTTTAAGATCCATCCTCCAGGTTATCAGATTTTTTTTCTACACCACAGCCTGGTCATGTTCAGGATATGTCCATTGTGTAAGTATACTCCTTTTTTGTGTCAATATGACAAATAAAAAAGCATTAAATGCAGTGACACACAGCCTTTGGGATCTTGAATAATCGGAATCATCTTTGCCTGTTCAGTCTCCTTCAGCACTATCCATCCTTTGTCCCCAACACGCTACTCTTTTATCCAGGTTGCTGCTCTCTTAACACTACCTCTCTTCCCAGTACCTGTTTTCCCCATACATAGCTATCACAGTTTTCTTTTCTAGAAGAACTGCCTACCAAAGAAAAAGTCCGTTTGGCATAAACATGTCCCGAGAAAACAGTTTACTGCATTTTACTGAGTTTGCAGTAGTAGGTGGTCACTCTCTTTCAGATGTTCTTTAGTCATGTTAGACTAAAAATGAAAGGAAATAGTTGTCCAAATTGCTCCACTACATTTCTTATATACAGATACATTTTCCTTTCTTCATTTTTTTAGAGTGCACCCTTCATTCACCAGTTACTAGGAAAAAAAAAAGAAAGAAAGAAAAACACTAGCCACAAAAATCATCCCAGTACACTAGAAGGCATTAAAGGAGTTTGTTGCAATCTATTAAGATATATCTATATTAACACAAAAAAATACATACACATACATATACAAAAAACATGCTTAAAACTCATATTTGGTTGTACTTTCAACATGTGATATAGTTATATATACAAGCAAGCATTTTAAAAAACATACTTAAAAAAATAAAGATCAAGCAACCAACCTTTGCTTGTCCATTATAATCATCATCTAAAATGTTTGAAGAATTTGGAACAGTGATACCACGGAAAAAACGGGAAGATCTCAGGTATCGCTGGAAACTAAGCAACCTTCTCACATTTCTCGCAGACACAGAGACTTCGATTTCAGAATTTGCTACAAAAAACAAGAAAATAAACACTCTCGCTAAAAAACCTTTATCAAAAAGATGAGCGTTCAGGGAAGTCTGGTATAAAGCCAATGCTTTTTTTTGGTATCAAACGTTTCAGCCACAAATACAGATATTTTTATTAATAATAAATACAGAGCCAGGGTTTAGAAAAAAGTGTTCCGTGTAAGCATCCTGTGAAGAAAAGCAAATATTTAAATCACAGCTGCAACATATCTTTTTAAGGAACTCCGTTATTGAAAGGACAGAAATATTATGGAAATTGTCTACAAACACATAGTTACTGCAAACAAATTATTTTTTTGAAAACTGTTCTCGTGTATCCGTTTCTCTAACAAATCACATAAAATATGTACACCAGCAAGAGAATATCAGAAACTGCATGTTGATACAGGAGATACAAATAGGCTTTGAGTATATACGAGTAACTTCTACACAGATTTTAAAGCTCAGAAAATCTCTTAGCTCTACACTACTGGCAAAATTTTAAACACATTCAAGTACTTTTGGTGCTTTTGCAGATAGTTACGTCCTTCTGGCAAACAAGTACCACATTTATTTTCACAGCCTATAAAAATCCCTTTCCCGGTACAGTGAAAACACAACAGAAAATTATTTTAACCTGTTTTCAAATATTAATCCAAATATTTTGCTTTATACTTACTAGGTTAACTGTTTATTCAAATGACTGACGCTAGCTTAGGTCCAATTCCACTTGATATAGTTGAAGTGTTTGAGAAACCTGAAGATCAAACTATGCATAGCTACAATTTCTTTGTAACAAGTCAGATACTCTGATTTTGAAATACTGAAGGCCAAAATTGGCCTTTACTTTCTTTTCAGCAGCACCCTAATGGTAGTTTTCTATAATCAATAGTCAATAATCTTGATATTCACTTATTCTGCCTGAAATGACTTATGCTAAAAAAAAAAAAAAAAAAAAAAAGGTATTAAGGAAGTCAATGCAAACAGGCTCTTCTCCAAAAATGCAGATCCTCAAAACCAACATGAGCTCAACCCTATAATACAGATCTCTTCTTCTTCCAAGAATAAGGCAATTAGAAGTTGGTGAAGTAAGGAGTGACAATTTTTGTTCTTAAAAGTCAGTCTAAAATGCTGTACAGGGGAAGTTGTAGTCTTATTGACAACTTCAATAAAAAGCCACAGCAATTTCTAGTGAAAGCAGCTTAATCCTATGTAAAATAAATCTTATCCATTTAAATTCTTCTCCCTGCAGAAGTTCCAACTTACTTTCTGTTCTATGTTAGCTCATTAATATACCAATTTCCAAACCACAGTAATAAAGCACCTCTAAACAGAACTGACAGTGTGATAAACACACAGTATCTAATCAAACGCAGCAGTGTTCCACACGAACAGTCTGTGCTAACAGAGATTAAACTGAGAAAATTGGAATATTCTTTCAGACATGCCTGAAACACTTTATCAAGACACTGAAATTCAGGGCCTAACTCAGACAACTTCACGTGAAATATCCTTCTTCAGGTTATCATACTCAAGGACAAGGGCACTTCCTCTGAAGACACTGATACCTATATATATGTATATACATGTATATACATATATATATGTACTACATATGATAAAGGTAGCTTATAAAGCAACGTTCACATGAACAGCAGGTAAATAAATAGACTCTGTCAGGCTGCATTACTCTACCAATATTTCTAAGCACATTTGTTAACATGAGGTTACAATCTGAGCCTTGCCAGGCTGCAGAACAGAGAATCAGGGAGCAATACATCTGCTGCTATTAAAGGGGCATAGTTCTTCCCCCTCAACCTTGATCCAATCCCTTAAAATCCAAATTTGAAAACAGAAGCTGATAGGTTGAAAAATAAAACAATATAAAACTGTTGTAACTTGGGTCATAAAATGATCTAAAATATCCACAAAGTCACATACAAAAGTCAGGAACTTGATTAAATGTCAAAAAACCAAAATATTTAAAGTAGAAGAAATAGTGCAAATACTTTTCTTGATCTCAAGTACTCTTCCACAGATCTAGAGTTAACAAAAACCTATTCTTGTTGTCATACTACAAACTAAGTTTCACTGTCACAGATGCCACATGTTAATCTTTGACAGAACAGTATGATGTAGGTAATACAAGTAAAACAGCAGCTCCTGGCAGCAAAGAACAAAATAGAGCACAGAAATGCAATAATCTGGCAGTAAAGACATTCCACTTGTATTTGTAAGCCATTGTGGGGGGTTACACATGGTCTTGCTTCAGTATTTTTTCTGATGATGATGTGGGTACAGAGGCAAATGAATTGCTTGGTTTTCTGTGAAGCTTCATTATTCTGTAAACTATTATTACTCTTTACTTCACAATATGCTATTGAGACATTTAGCATGTTTAAACTCTCTAAATTATCACCTATTTGTATAGCTCATAAACTACTTTTACACATTAATCCTACTTTTTCTACCCCTTGTTAAGAAAAAGGAAGAAAAAAAAGAGCACTGCTTCAGCTGATGCAATTCAAACAAACAGCAAAGCCTACATCATTCCAGCTTTCCCAGTAGCAATGCTGCTTATTACAAAACTTCTGGGGTTCATCTGGTCAAACTGCTCTTCTCAAGCAGGGTCACTCAGACCACATTGTCCAGGACAGTGTCCCAGAAGCTTTTGAGTATCTCCCAGGATGGAGACTCCACAGTCTCCTTGGGCAACCTGTGCCAGCACTTGGTACCCCTCACAGTGGAAAAGTGTTTCCTGATGTTCAGAGGGAACCTCCTGCGTTTCAGTTTGTGCCATTGCCTCTGGTCCTGGCACTGGGCAACACTGAAAAGAGCCTGGTTCCATCATTTTTGCACCCTCCCTTCAGATATTCGTATACACGGGTGAGTTCCCCCACTGAGCCTTCTCAAGCCTGAACAGTCCAAGCACAGCCTTTTCTCATCAGCCCCTTAATCTTCCTGACCCTTTGTGGGACTCTCTCTGGTATGTCCATGTCTTTCTTTTACGGGGGAGACCAGACCTGGACACAGGACTCCAGGTGAGGCCTCGCCAGTGCTGAATAAAGGAGCAGGATCACTTCCCTCTATCTGCTGGCACCATTCCTCTTAATGTAGCCCAGGATACCATTTGTTTTCTTTCCAACAAGGCCACATGGCTGGTTCATGTTCAATTTGGTGCCCACCAGAAGCCTCAGGTGCTTTTCAGCCAAGCTGCTTTCCAGCTGGGGCTGTTTCTTCCCAGAGGTCGGGCTTTGCACTTCCCTTTGAACTACTAGTTATTGTACACGATTAGCCCAAGCTAAACAAACCTTGACTAAAAGTCTTTATGATTTAGATCTGCAATGATTAGAATAACTTCCAGTTGAGAAAAGAGATCTTGAGCCTTGCCATCCCCCTGCAGTTCCAGAACACCTCATGCGGGGGGACAACACCAACCCCAAAAGTAAATTTCTCTCCCTTTAACAGCTAAACATTTTCCACAAGACAATTCAGAACAGGCGACTCAGTTGCGGAGGTTTGACAGGTTATTAATTTAAAAGGGAGGCTGAAACAGAAAATAGCTGACTTTCAAGGAATGGGGTGGGAGGAAGACAGGTTCTTCAGCTGCAGGAACACTGATAGCAACCGTGCCTGCTGTTTCCTTTTCTTCACAGATAAATTATTATTAAGGATACACAAACCAACTGCTTTGTGGTTCCAGCAGACCAGCTAAGACCAGTTCATAGGAAGGACTGGTAAAATACAGTTGTGCAATGGAAACTTGGTATTTCCCTCCTGGCACATTAGTTCTCTTTATATGCATGATTAATATGAGAATGTCAGCCTACCTTCTTCTGTCATGAGTCATGAAATGAGATGCTAATTTCGAAGACCCGACCAAATCAAGGTTCAATAATGTATTTATTATGGAAAGAAGGTGGTGAAGAAAGAAGAGTGCTCATGAATAAGCATGGTGCAAAGACGTCCCTCCTCCCAGCCTAAACATCTTTCATTTGGAGCCTTCAGTGTGCTAAATGTCTTTCTAATATCCAATACTGACCATTTGCTCTTAAGGACAGTTTAGAGACAAATTAGAATAAAAAAATAAGTATGCCATTTACTGCCCTGAGAACTGAAGAGAATGAAAGCAAAGTTGGGATGGCAGGCATGTTAAGAAGGATCTGCAGCATTTGGAAGTGCTTTTGATGCAAGGAATCAGAACACAACCTGTAAGGTCTTTGTGCCTAGTCGACAGCAGCCATCCTATGTTCTTCTTCTCATTCCTTTCTAAGTTAGAGATATCATCCAAAATATTTTCCAATTTTTGGGGGGTTTTCTTTTTGTTTGTTTGATCAAAATTATTATATTCTTGTTTCTAAGCACCTTAAGTGAGATGCTGGTAATATAAAATATTCCTTTCTCTAAAAAAAAAAAAAGTAATTCTGTTTACTAATATCAATTATTTTGCTAATGTTATGCATATACAGCAATAAAATAGTGCATATTGCCTTCATGTAACAGATTTCATCTGTATTTCAAGACACTAATTTTAATCTCTCTTCCCACTCCCAATCTCTCAAGCATGTCACTCTTCACGAAAATCTAAAAAAAAGTTTTATCACATTTCACAGGGATATTAAATATTTATTTTTCTCATGCTGATATAAAAATACAAAGTGAAAACTAGTGATAATCACAGAATCATAATCATATCACTAAATCATATACTGATAGATTTGCTCTCTGAATTTTTGCATCTTGCATATAGTAAGGACAGTCAACAAAAGGCAGAATGATGGCTTAATTATGATTTGGTTTAATTTTTTATTAATGGAAAACCTAAATCCTAACAATATGCTTCAACTTTATTTTAATGCAAAGATAAAGACTCATACCCTCTGATGGGATCCTGGCTGAAACAAGGCTACCCAGTGTAAGAACTCTACCTCCATTTCTTCCCTGCTACAGCACAAAAGGCAAATAGGAAATTATCCACAATAAAAATCACTGGTTTTTGCTA